CAGGGCGGTCCCTCGGTTGTCTCTCTGCCATCAGTTTTTCTCATTTTGATTTGATTTATTTCAAAGTTAGGGCCCTAGCTCAAGGGTTTGGGGCCTAGCGTTTAGGGTTTAGGGTTTAGGGTTTAGGGTTTAGGGTTTAGGGTTCAGGGTTTGGGGTTTAGGGTTTGGGCTCTTTGCTGCTGTTGGCTCGGTGCTGGCTGGGCGGCGGCAGGCGCCCGCTGTGGCGCCTTTTGGCTTAGACACTTTAACTGCAAATAAGCCTTTAACAAAAAGAAACTAATTTGCTGCTTTTTCAGTGAGAAATGCAGCAGTAGCAGCAGCAGCAGCTGCTGCTGCTGCTGCTGGTGCTGCTGCAGGCAGCTGCGCTCCTTCGAAGGACCGCCGACACGTCGATAGCTCTGGGCTGGGGCTTGTCTCTGCTGCCTGTTGCTGCTGCTGCTGCAACAAAATGCTTCAATTGGATTTAAATTTTGAATTTTATAGTTTAATTTAAAACAATTATTTTAATTGCATTCTTTTTCATGGCCCTTTGCTGCTGCTGCTCCGCAGACAGCGCAGCCGCCCGCTGCAGCCGCCAGCCAGCTGCTGCAGCGCGCGGGAGCACAGGGGGCCCCGCGGGGTCTCCTTGTGGGTTTTCTTCGAATAAAAATGTTCTTTTGTAATTCTTTTTGAAAATTAAATTAAATTTAAATCTTAAATTTGCAAAAGGCGCGAAAATTTGACCCTAAAATGCAATCTCGCGCCACTGACCGAACAGTGACCGGTGGTCCACACCCTGTTCGTGAACCAAGAGGCAAAACAGGGCAAAATGGAGATCGAGGAGTACTCTGAAGATGCAAATAAATTGAAATTAAATAATATGAATTAAGTAATGAAATAAGGGATTAAAAGGAGAGGATTTTAAGCAGTTTCGAAGCCTTGGGCTGTATGTACAGCGCGCAGCCTGAGGTGTACATACACCGCAGCAGCCAGCGCGTGCTGTTTGCTTCTAAATATCCCCCTTGTGTCATTTTAGAATTGAAAATGATCTTAATTCTTCTTTTGTTTGCAATTATTTCATATTTTGGTCCGTTCTAATTGCCAAAAGATGCAAAATAGAAATAACTATTTTAAAAAAAGTTGTTGGAAATGCATGCAGCAGCAGTGGCCTACGGGGTGTATCTACCGGCATTGCATGCATTTGAGTTCTTTTTTGGGAAATTTGGCGGACAGAATTGCCTTAATGCATTTAGAGTCTTCAAGTAGGAAAAAGAAAATAAAATGAATTGTCTTTGTTTGTTTTAATTGCACAAAATGCACTTATTTGGTGCTTTGTTGCAACAAAAACGAAGAAGACATGCATGCGGAAGACTTTGTGTAGTGCAAACGAGAAGAGAAGCAAAAAAGAAAAAAAGAAAAAAGGAAAAGAAAGAAAAGAAAGGATGAATGAGAGAAAAGACTTTTAAAGAGATTAAAAAGATAAAGGAACATAGATATGAAAGAAGGAAATAAAAAGAAAAGAAAAAGATAGAAAGTTAAAAAGAGTTTGAAGAAAAGAGAATCAACAGAAGACAAAAGGAGACAAAAAAAGAAAAAAGAAAGAAGGAAAAAATCAGATGAAACAAATAAAAGGAAATTAAAAAAGAGAAAAGAGAAAAGAGACAAAAAGATAAAACAGAAAAGTTAAGTAAATCGAAATTAAAGAGACAGAAGGAGAAAAGGAGGCAAAGAGAAAAAGAAGGAAATAAAAAAAGCAAAAAGGCAAAAAGGACAAGAAGAAACAAAAGTTACGAAAAGAAACAGAAAGAAAGAAATGTAATAAAGGGGAAAAGAGGAAACAAAATGAGACAAAAAAATTAAGAAGAGGTGGGTGCTGCATGCAGCAGCAGCAGCAGCAGAAGCAGCAGCAGCAGCAGCAGCAGCAACAGCAGCAGCAGCAGGAAGGTAGCCCGAAATGTCGAGAGAGCAGGCAGGAAGCCTGTCCGCGAATCAAGGAGACAAAAAGGAACAGCACAGGCGCAGGGAAAGAGTAGCAGCAGCAGCAACAGCAGCAGCAGCAACAGCAGCAGCAGCAGCAGCAGCAGCAGCAGCACGCGCGGCCAGCTCACGCAGAGGAAGAAGCCCCTCAGAGGCTACACAAGGACTTTGCTGCTTCCATACAAAGGCTATCTTTTGGCGTTTTATATATTATTTTAATTCTTTATTCTTTTTTAAAAGTATTTAACTTCTGTCCCTGTGGTTTATATTCTTCAATGGTGTTAAATGGTCTTTCTATTCAAATTTATTCTGTCTCGTGATCTCATTCAGCCCAGGCAAAGTGCAAAGAGGTTAAATAAATAAAAAATAATAAAAAAGAACTAATTTGCAAATAGTTTTGAAGTGAAGTGCAGATTAAAAGGATAGAGTGGGAGCTGGCGGCGGCGAGCATCGCAGTGGTTGGGGTGTACGTACAGCTCGGGACGAAGAACCTGCATTTTTGAGTTTCGGCGCGAAATAAAGTCGAATTAAAATTTAAATTGAAAATTAATAAAATACTTTTAAAAAGGATCATTTTAAGGGGTTATAGTGCAGGGTTTCTCAGGAGTCGAAGACACGGCGAAAGCCCCGCATGCATCGGGCAGCAGCTGCTGCTGCGAGTGGCTGCTGCGGGCTTGTTCTACGTTGCTGCAGCGCCAAATTCAAAAAGATTTGCAAAAGTTTTCAGTTTTATATAATTGCAAGTCTGTGCAGCACAGAACAAAGCCTGGGTGGCCCCGGACTCGGCAGCAGCAGTTGCTTCCGCGCTGCTGCTGCTGCGCACGAGCTGTACATACACTCCACCGCCGCGAAGCAGAACTTGAATTTATTCCCTTTGCTTTCCACCTCCAGTGTCGTCTTCGCCCGCGGCTCTGTGGCCCCTGCAGCTCCGCCTCCCCGCTGCAGCTGGTTTCCAGGCTGGCGCTGCAGCTGCTAGCTGCTGCTGCTAGCTGCTGCTGCTTGCTGCTGCTGCGGATCTGCTGCGAATCTGCCGCTGCAGCGCGCGCTGCTGAGTGTGCGGCCGTTCCACCCCGCGGCATGCATGCAGAAAGCTGCACTTGCATGCGGGGGCCAGGGGGCTCTGCGGGCCTGAAAAGCCGGCTGGAACTGCGTTTTGGAGTTCCTATTTTGTTGCAAATTCAATTTTGAATTGCAATTAATGTTTTGGAACTGAATTGGCGGCGAAAATGGCGCTGCGGGGCCGCGCGCGCGCAGCCGCTCCTGGGGTGTATGCGCACCTCCTGCTTGCAGCTTTCGCCGCCTTCCTGCATGCAAAGCCGCCCGATCCAAGCAGCACTTTTGAAAATGTTTTTAAAAATGTTTTTATTTTTGCAATTGGAGTTGAAGGGTCTTTAAATGTGCATCCTTGTGTGGCGGATTTCCTGGTGTCTTCTCTGCGGGACCTGACTTACGTGCCTGTCGACCAAGTGCTTCCTGAAAAGGCAAGTTGAACTGCGCGCGATCTCGCTCAATTTTGCGTCTTTTTCTTTCTTTTTTTCTACTTCCGACTCATTTTTTGCAAATGCTTTCACAAAATGCCATTAGTTTCGCGCTTTCCGCGTTTGCAGGTCGTGTTTCCCGTCTGCGACTCCACCTCCGGCCCCGCCTGCCCCCACCTGCGCTTCCCGCCGCTGCTCCCGGCCCTGCAGCCGC